ATATACATATCTTGATGCCTGCTACAGACTGTCTTGATCCCTTGATTGCAATCTGATTGTCCCTTTGATGTCTTGATTTTGATTTGATCGCGGTCGCAAGTGTAACTACAGGCTTGATGAAAGTGACACCCCCTTGTTTAGCCCACTTGGATCACGGAACAATAATTGACAATTTTGATTTGGTGTTTTCCTTAAATTTGCCAATTCACCAAATTTAGTCCCTCACCAATAAATGCTGCTATATGATATTATCAGTATACTGTACTTCACTTGATTATAGAAAGGTTAGTGTATTAATTTTTATTAGGGCCAGAGAAGAAGAAGCATAAAGGACAGATGCAGGTGTATGTTATAAGATGGCATCCATCACAATGTTCAGTTGATCCAATAGAAGAAATTATACTGGACAATAATGATCCTAAGCATGTTATTGAAAAGGTAATCATGATTTTATCATTGCATTGCATGGGATAGTACTTGTTCAAACAAGTAGTTATGATGCTATAAAATAAAATTTTTATTATTTTTTTACAGCTGTCAGAGTTAAGTGGAGTACCTACTGAGTATATCTATTGTGCAAAGGTTAATCATTGATACAAAACATAATAAAGTCTAAGATGCTCTCTCTCTTTAACTCTTAGAGTGAGCCATTTCCAGTTGAGTTGTCATGTCTTGATATTGAGAATAAGTTGCAATGGTATTCCATCACTTCACACAGATTATACTCATTAGAACTATATGGTGATGGAGACGTCATATATTACAAGTACTAATGAACACATACACTGTACACACATTATGTATATGCACACTTACATCACATTTACATACACCTCTTACTGTTTATAATTATTTAGAGACAATAGAGAGACAATGAAAGAGTTAACAGATAAAGAGAGATCAGAAATACATAAGGCAGAGGAAGCAAGGTACCAAAATAAATGCATTAGTATTATAGAAAATGTTTTTTCTTTTACATTTATTATATTACTGTAGGATGAAGAAAATTAGCGAATGTATGTATCAACATTGGCTTTGATTAGATTAATTTAATCTTAAACGTATTTTAATCTTCATGTTTTAGAAATTAATGTAACTTAAAAAATAATTTTCCAGTGCATTTTAATCTGGTTTAGTTTGTT